AAATATTTTGTTATGTCATACCTACCCTTATAAATCCTCAAATCAATCATTTCTCAGTTTAATGTATCAGATCCCAAACAGATTTTCTCTGCCTGCAAACTGTTCCTTTTGATATTTCTAGACATCTACAATGTGTCATTTTCATTATATCTTAGGTCTTTCAGTACCATTAGGGTTCATATCCAACTTTCTATTTTCTTCCACTCCTCTTGCTTTTCTCAAAATGACCTTATTCCTTTGGTTCCTTGGGCTCGATCTTGGGCATTCTTCACTCCACTCTCCTTGTAATACCTAATCCATGAGTAAATACTACAGGTTTCAGATTTAAAATGTTAACTACAATTTAAATGTTTCTCACCATCTCTGCTATTAATACTCTAGTTCACAGTAGAGTCCAGATTATTACCCAATCACTTGCTTCTTCCCTTGTGTACTTTATTCTTCACTTATTACACCAAATCCTCTAGTGCCTTCCCAATTTACTTAAAACAAAATGCCAGGTCTCTATTACAGCCTACGTAAAACTTGATGATCTGACTTCGCCCCAAGTATGCTTGTGATTTTTTTTTTCTTGCCCATCTTGGGGCTTGAACTCAGGGTTTAAGCACTTTCCCTGAGCTTTTTTGCTCACAGCTAGCACTCTACCTACTACTTGCGTCACAGCTCTACCTCCAACTTTTCTGGTGATTAACTGGAGATACAAGTTTCATGGAATTTCCTGCCCTGACTAGCTTCTAACATCCATCCTCAGAGCTGAGCCACCTACGTAGCTCAGAATAAAGGCATAAGCCACCCACTAGCACCCAGCTATGTGCTTGTGATTTTATCTTCTTTCTCCCTTATACAACATATGCAGTTTCCACATATAACTCAATAATGCTAGGCAAATTCAAAACCTGGAATTTTGTTGGCTTTTAACTGTGTGAAGTATCAGCTGTCTCACTTACATGCTTTTTTCTTTCTCTAGCACTAATCACTACCTGACATATTTACTATGATTTCCCTCCCATTAGAAGTTTACAATTCATAAAGGCTGGGGTATGGCTCAAAGAGTTGAGCACTTCCAAGTCCTAAGTTCAAACCTCAGTATGGAAAAAAAGATAAAAAGAAATTTCCTGAAAGCACAAATTCCATTTTGTTTACTACTCTATCTATAACACTAAACAAGGTATGGCCCATAACAGAAATTCAGTAACATCAGCTGTATAAATTAAAAACAAAAACAAACAAATAATGAGTATAATTCCCTATACTCATCATTAACAATACTATCCTTCCAGTCAACCCATAGCTCTGCTCTAGATATATTCTTCCTAAAATCAGAGGATGTTTCTTCTTCTATTTTTTAAAATTAAGGTTTCCTTTCCATTCTTCTTCTTCCATTTTTACTCACCAAATAATTTTCTACTTCCTTTTTTTTTTTTTGCCATCTATCTTGACCTTTTCAAGTTTATCCCCAACAGTGACAAATAAAATTCCTCAAGTATAAATGATGTAACTCCCAACATCTAAGAATAAAGTCAACAACAGATGTTTTTGCAAACACTGGCAACTGTCTCACTGCCCTTTGACAGGAAACAAACAAACACAAAAACCCCCAAAACCTTTGTGTATTGATCTGGGCAATTGTTCTAGTGACAGTAGCATGAGGAAGGTAAAGCTGGTCTTCTAACTCATTTATTACCTAAGTTTAACAGTAATCATGCAAGGCCCTTTGCAGAGGAAGATTCTCTGATCTGGTAAAATGTAAATTTTGAACTGCAATTCTCTGTTACTTGTGAGAAGGCTCTGTTTGAAAATAAAGTAAAAGGGAAAAACGGAGAAAAATATATTTTGACAACAATTTTTGAGTACTTACACTGGATGATATAAGAAGCAATTGAAAACCTTATGTATTTAATCCCATTGGTTAAGCTAATCTGAGTTGCTTCTTTTTATTCCAAGCAAAGAATGCTGACTTAAAACATATTCCTCTTGTCTGCTACATTTTTCATATTATCCTCATTTCCTCTTATTCTGTAGTCCCACTCATTGTCTCTGAGTGTATATAATCTGTCCCATCTACCTAGAACATTTTCTCCTTTATTGATTTAGAGAACTCCTTTCTATCCCAGTATCTCTTTTATTACTGAAATCTTACACAATTAACTTGACCCACAAGTAAAAATGGAAAGATTTTGTAAACTTTGTTACTTTGTGTTTTTTGGTTCTCCAATCACTTCTTTGTACTTTTAAATTTATTCTGCAAATATTAACTTGGCCAGTTAGATGCCGGGCATAGCATTAGATGCTCTGCTGCCATGCAACTTAGTATTATAAAATGGATGACAAAAAACTAATAGTAAGCTAAAATGTAAAATGGTTAAATGCTACAAATGAAGAAAAAAAATTGCTCAAAATAAGGGAAATAAAAGTATTTTGGAATAAGAATAGCATGTGATGATCAAGGTTAAGAGAGCCTGATGCTGGGCATAGTGGCACGTGCCTGTAATCACAGATACCGGAAAGGAGAAAGCAGAAGGATTTAAAGATTATGGACAGCATGGACAAAACGTAGGAAACTATCTGAAAAGCAGGAAGTTTGAAGTGGCTCAAGCCTGTAACCTTGGTAGAAAAGTCAGTGAGAGTCTCCTATTAACCAGCAAAAAGCTAGATGTGAAAGTGTGGCTCAAGTGGTAGAGGGCCAACTTTGGGCAATTAAGCCAAGGAAGAACACAGGCCAAGAGTTCAAGTCCTACTGTCAACACACACTCAGCCCCTCCACCCCCAAAAGAATTTGGTAACTGAAACTGGGTCTATCATGTTTCCTTCCTGTTAAACCTGGGGAACATATCTTCAATTGTAGTTCATTGGCATTTTTTTTTCTTTATTATACATGTTTTAAGTATAGTCATTTCCTGCTTATCTTTCTAAATCATCCTTTTAAGTTTGCAATGTTGAACAGATCTAAACTATTTTCATATAAAAGTCAGGAATAGAAACTATTAATGATCTCAAATTTTGTAATTCCACTAACATGTTTTGTTTCTTGACATTTAGATTTTATAATTATTAAAAACTATAAAACGTAATTTATTAACACAATTTTAGTTACTTACCGCTCTCTTTCTCCAGTTTCTATTAACTTTTGGTTAATCGCTGCTCTCATCTGCGCATCTTTGTTCATCTTGCTAACCTAGACATCAATAAGTGTTTTCAGATACAGAAATTTACAAATCACTTTTTTCTAAATCTCCCAGGCAAGTATCCTAACACTTTAGTATTCTACCAACTGCAAGAGTGATAAATTTTAAGTATTAACAATGTCATTACTCTTAATATGATTTGCTGCATACTAAGATAACATATCAACACTCAATATACTACGTCTTTCCCCTATGTGCTCTTTATTAATGAGTCTTTAGATAATATTAAGTATCACTTTAACACTTAGTAAACATTTAAGTGCCTGTACTGGGCTGAAAATTTATTTTTGAAATTACATTTAATCCCCAAACTCACTGTTACACATTAACATAACTTATGTTTTAAAGATGAGAAAACTGAGGCACAGAGATACAAAATGGTTAAAGCAGAATTTGAACTCTGGGTTCTCTGACCCTTGAAGCCCCACTTTATTGAACTGCATCAGAACTGACTGCTGATCCATTTCTGCACCTTAGGTACATTCAAAATTCAGGGAAGCCATATAATGTAAATATCAACGAAAGATGAGACGGTATTAGTAAAGGAAAAAAAACGACAAAAACAGGGAAATGGTAAGAATGAGTACTTTACTCTTCATTAGGGTGTACCCTGCATTAAGTGGCTACACTACCTATGTTATCAAAAACATTTATTGTGGGTGGGGATAAGAGGAAACAACTCTCAAACGAATTCTTAACTTGTGTTTTAAGGACATTCAAGTTACTTCTCATCTGTCACTAACTCGACTCTAATCGTTATCTCCTATCTCCCGTCCCAAGTCAAAGTGGCAAAGACTTTTTAGAGTTGTGTGTGTGTGTGTGTGTTGGGGGGGGGGGGGTGGGCAGTCAAAGTGGCAAAGACTTTTTAGAGTTGTGTGTGTGTGTGTGTGTGTGTGTGTGTTGGGGGGCGGGCTGGGGTTGGATAGGGAATCGGGAAGGGAGGTTGAAAAAGAAGTAGGAAATGTTCTGCCTTTGCAAACTGGAAGCTAACATTTTTCAAAGTAACTACAAAATGCTCGTCAGTTCCACGGCAGGAATATTGAACTTGATTTCGCCTCAAGCCCCCCAGATCCAGATCGTGACCTTGGACAAGTCACTTAATACTTTCAAGGCCTCAGTTTTGTCACTGGTTAAAAAAAACAAAACAAAAACAAACAAACAAACAAAAAAAAACACCCGGGCGCTAGGGGTTCCCTCCCCGCTCAGACGTTCTCGGGAAAATGCACCCAGGCGGGGACAGCTGGAGAGGCGGGAGGGAGGAGCCAGAAAACAAAGCGAGGACTGGCTCCAGGCCAACTCCAGCAGCACGCCCAGTCGGAGAGCCCTACAGGCCCGCGAGCGAGCGCGGGTCGGGGAAGCGAACCAAAGACAGTACAGCGAAAAGGAGCCTGGGCCGGGCCCGGGTCCCGGCCCTGAGGACCACGGGCATAGCTCACCACCATCACCGCGGGCGAGGGCCGTCCCTTCCCAGCGACGAAATGACCCTTGCGCTGACGACCGTTACCTACCACACTCTTCGACTGCCCGGGACTTAGACCCTCAGTAGCTCGGGCACCTAAGCACACAGAAACCTAGAACACGCATTTCCGGGGCGGGGTCTGGCCACTCTGCCTATAATGTGAGAATTTAACTAGCGCGGGCCGCCTCCCGGTCGCTCAGCCTTCTGGGTAAGTGAGTCCAGATCCAGCCCTCATGCCGGGGCGACAAGCCCGTAGAAAACTACATAGCCCCGAATGCATCAGAGTCCGCTCCCCCTCCCTCACACGAACACTACACTTCCCGGTATGCACTTTGCGCCGCAGTGTGTGCTGGGATGGGAACCACGCCGGCTCCCCAGCCTCAGTTCCCGGAGCCGGCGCGGACCTTTCAACCAGAGCTCTGTTAGTTCTTAGGCCGAGACTGTAGCCAGCGATGGAGGTGGCGGCTAATTGTTCCCTACGGGTGAAGAGGCCTCTGCTGGATCCCCGCTTCGAGGGTTACAAGCTGTCTCTCGAGCCGCTACCGTGTTATCAGCTGGAGCTTGACGCAGGTGGGAAGCGGCGGCTCCCCCAGGCCCTGGGTGCCCCCCCCCTTTCCGCTGCACCCCCTCACCTTTCCCGCGTTTTCTCTCTGACTAGGGCAAGCAGGGTCACCGTGGCCGCCCCTACGGCCTGCCCGGCTGGGGTGCACCCAGGGTGGCCGTCCCTGGAGAATGGTGTCCATCCCAGGACCCTCGCGAGCCCCCCCTTTGCGTCCTCCCGCTCCTCTTGGCCCGTCGGGTTCAGAGGTCTGGCACGCGGCTGTGTTGCCTGGGCCCCGGCTGTCTGTCTGCGCATCCCTGGCCTGGCCCTGCTGGGGAGAAAGTCCTGGACCTTGTTCCAACTCCGAGCACCTCGTTTATAAACGTGTTCCCTGAAAAGCCACGCCTCCTTGGTCAGTCCCCAGTTGTTTCCTCTGACGCAGAGCCTTTTCTTGTGAGAGAAATTCTCCTACATTCCAGTTCTGTCATTTTCGAGTGTCCAGGTCCCGCGACCCTCAGGACGGGTGCCCTCGCGGCCATCGCTACGAAGTTTGTGAGGGGGAGTGATGTAGTCACAACACTTGTGCTTGTTTTGGCTGGAATGTTCCCATCCTGTTTTCACTGCGTACAGCTTTATTTTCATGACTGGCCAGAGATACGAACTTTTTAGTGCAGGCCCCAGCTGATTCTGATGCCTGTCGGTAGATCACACTTGGAGAAATACTGGTCAGGGTCAGTACGTGTTACTGTATCAAACAAGTGTTTATTAATTTGTTGATTAAATTCAGAAATATCGCAGGCCAGTGTCGAGATACATTTTGAGGATATCAAGGTGAGTATTACATAACAGGAAGAAAAGTTTAAATAATTATAATGTGAGAAGGCAGTGGTAGGAATGTGAAAGGCTTCCCCACGAAAATCACTCAAACTCTTGGTCACATACAAAGGAAGAGAGTAGCAGGTAGGCAAGAGTAGCAACTGGGAGGAGCAACAGCACATTTTTATAAGGCTGTGTTCATGTGGAACACTGTTGTGGAAAGGGTTAACATTTACAGTTGTAGCTGAACAAACAAAGGAGAGGAAAACTTCATGCCATTTGAAGCTGGCAACTACCTGCTTCGCCTGTTTTTAGGTATAAGTCTGTGTCACCTGTGGGGAAGGCTGCTTTTGCTTTTTTGCTGAAGATGTAAGGTGGGCAGACTGGGTAAGAACATGGAGAATGTATGTGTACAACATGCAGTGGTAAAACTTGAGTGTCTTTCCTAAAGCAGCCTGTGGAAATCCGAGAAAGATTCCTGAAAGAGTTGATACTCTCATTGAACTTGCAAGGATAGGCAAACTGGAGTTGACTCATGAGAGAAGATGAACTTTCTTTAGATGCCTTTCATTTCCTTTCTTTCTTCTCCCTCTCCCAAATGATTTTTGTTTTGTTTTGTCTCCAAATCAAAAAACAATACTACCATGTTTAGTTAGTTAATGCATTCAAACCCAAACCCAGAATTTAGTTGTTCAATATGAAAGGATTATTGTTGCTTACCAATCTACAGGTCAACTTGGTGGTTGTTCTAGTTCTGGCAAAGCTCGTTCTTGCATCTTGGTTCATTTATGGGTGTGCTAGGCAGTTCTCTTTTTGACTAGACTTTGTCCTATGTTGGGGTTCTGCCTGTTTAAGATGATTTCAGATGATCTCCACTTGACTCATCCAGTAGCAGGCTAGTGCAGGCTTGTTGCCCTAGCACATAACAGCACTTAAGTGATGTTTACTTCAAATTTGTTTCTGTGCCATTCCCCAAAACAAGTCAAATATCAAACCTAGATTCAGTGTGGGATGATTGTACTAAAGGATACTCCAGAAGGTATAAAACTTGGGACTGCTAGTGCAGATCTGTATAATGGTTCCTGTTGGAGTTATTTTCAATGCATTTGTTTAGATCTCATCCAATTTATCCATAAATGCCCCGAGTTCCAAATTAGGGTACCTACATTCTCATCCAAATCATAGTTTTTGCATTCCTAAAATATAGTAGGCTCCTTAACAGCTTTCCTGATTTTACTTTAGAACCTCTTCCCTCTTATCGCAAGACTGTAAGTGTAGCTTTTAATTTTATGTTTATTTGATGGGTATTATACTGAGACTTCTATGAAAACTCTATGGTGTTTCTCTTACTATGCTGTCCTTAGTTCTTGACACATACTAGTATTCAATAAGTTGAGTGAGTGGAGGATATTTTTGCATTCTTAAAATCTCCTGAGCTCTTTGGGAAATATAATTCAATTGTTTGGAAACTAATTTCATTAAGTCTTGCTTTTATGTTTTGTTGGGCTGCTCTAGAATGGTGCTTAGACTAGGGATATTTGTAAATGCTGTCAAGGCAAGACTGACTTGTGTGCTCTGCTCAGTATTCCATAAATTACGTGTTTTGTTTGTTTGTTTTTATTTTAGCTGTTGGGCATAGTTCTTTCCTAACCTGCTGTGACCAGCACTGTACTATCTAATCCTTTCAAGTGTGTGTGTGTGTGTGTGTGTGTGTGTGTGTGTGTTTGTGTGTATGTGTTTGTCGGTCTTGGGGTGTGTTTGTGTGTATGTGTTTGTCGGTCTTGGGGCTTGAACTCTGGCCCTGGGCGCTGTCCCTGAGCTCTTCAGCCAAGGCTAGTGCTCTTACCACTTGAGCCACAATGTCACTTCTGGTTTTTTGGTGATTAATTGGAGATGAGTCTCATAGATGTTCCTGCCTAGGCTGGCTTTGAACCTGGATCCTCAGATCTCAGTCTCTTAAGTAGTTAGGATTACTGGCATGAACCACCAGTGCCAGCTTCAAATGTTTTTTTATCTCAGATGGTTTCCACAAACACATGACCTTGGTACTAGGTTAAGTCCTTGAGAGGGATCCTCTTCATATCTCCAAGGTTCTTTCTGGGCAGCTTTCCCTTCTACTACAGATTTTAAAATCAGTATCTTCAACTTAAAGATTTTGCTAAATTTGACCTCAGTTTCTTCTCTTTGTGTTGTGTCCTGGAAATTTTTCAAGGCAATATCCTGGGACACAGTATGGTTCACATTATTTGTGGTCTCTTTAAGGATCACTAGTCTTCACTGCCTGATAGCTAGTTCTTAGAGGCTATTGTTTAATGTAATTTTGTCTCATTTATTTTACTTATTAGTTGTTTCTAATGTGTTTCTTTGTGTTTTATGTACATGTTTGCAAGTGTGTGTGTGTGTGTGTGTGTGTGAGAGAGAGAGAAAGACAGACACACACACATACACACATATACACAGAGACAGAGACAGAGACAGAAACATTTCACCATAGTTAAATGAAGGAAAAGGGGAGCCAGGGGAAAGGATATTACCTCTGATAAGAGGTAGAATTGCAAACATATATGGGAGAATTAACCTTGGAAAAGAGAAGAGGAGGGCTGGGAAGGTGGCTCAGTGGTAGAGCACTTGCCTTGCATGCCTGAGGCCCTGGGTTTGATTCCTCAGCACCACATAAGCAAAAAGAAAAAAAAAAAAGCTGGAAGTGGCGTTGTGGCTCAAGTGGTAGAGCGCTAGCCTTGAGCTGAAAAGCTGAGGGACAGCGCCCAGGCCCAGAGTTCAGGCCCCATGACCGGACCCAAAAAAAAAAGGAAAAGAGAAGAGGAACAGGGAAATCAGTACTTATCATTCTTTGTTTAAATTTTTTTTTTTATTGTAAAGGTGATATAGTAGTTATGTAGTAAGGAAATGAGTACAATTCTTTTTTTTGGGGGGAGGGGTCTGTTGTGGGGCCTGAACTCTGGGCCTGGGTGCTGTCCCTCAGCTCCTTAGCTCAAGGCTAGTGCTCTACCGCTTGAGCCACAGCACCACTTCCGGCTTTTTTTTTCTGTTTATGTGGTGCTGAGGAATTGAACCCAGGGCCTCAGGCATGCAAGGCAAGCGCTCTACCACTGAGCCATCTTCCCAGCCCCATGAGTACAATTCTTGTTGAACATTGTTACCTCCTCATTTTCTCCTGCTATCCTCCCCCCACGTGTAAAATATTGTGAGTATCACTGTTGCATTGGTTCACCCTTTGTCTTTTGTCTCACCATTTCTATGATTTCCCTTTCTTTCCCCAAATCCGATAAACTTATATACAGTACAAAGGGTAATAAAAAAAAATGTCAACAGCAGGTAAGCCAATGGAAAAATAAAAACAAAAAAAGAACTGTATACAGTACATTAAAAAAAAAAACACTTTCCATATCTTGTACTTAATTTCTATTAGCATCATTTCTTAAGGTGAGGGAAACCAGGCAGCCTATGTTTCTTTGGGTCTGTCTTACTTCACTTACTATGAATTTTTCCCAGTCTTTTCATTTCCTTACAAATGAAGAAATGCCGTTCTTTCTGGTGGAAGCATAGAACTCCATTGTGTATATTTACCACATTTTCTTGATCCATTACATTATATGACAATTCCATAGGGTAAACACATGAAACTTTACCAGGAAGGAAACCAGAAAAGGAGGGGATGAGAAAGATTAGCTAATTTAAAAGACTAATCCTGGCACAGTTTTTATAATGATCTAGGTAGTCTCTCCCCTCCACCCCCAAATCTCCCCAGCTCCCAGCAGAGAGAAGAAAAGCTAATATTTAGGTTATCTGTTGGCACTGGGGCCCAGCTCACAGTTATCATCCTAGCTACTCATGAGGCTGAGGTCTGAGGAATGCAATCTGAAGCCAGCTCAGACTGGAAAGTCCATGACTGTTTCTCTAATTAATTACCTGAAAGCCTGAAGTGGAGCTGTGGCTCTAGTAGTAGAGCAATAGCCTTGAGCAAAAATGCTTAGTAACAGTGCCCAGGCTTTAAGTCAAACCCCAGTACTAGCACACACATACACATTAAAAAAAAAAAAGAACAAATGGACAAAAAGATTTAGGCTATCACCTGAGTAAAAGGAGGGAGGAATCCTGTAATCATAAATCTCATAGCTACCCATAAGGAGGAAGATAAGATAATGTTGTAATCACACAAACCCCATATAAAATAGTTTCATGGGAGCTTGGGTCTTCTCTATTCCATGAGTCTTGCTTCAGAACTTATTAACAAGAATTGTACTTTTTCATTTTAATATTATACAAAAGCAAATAGGAGAAGAGAACTTATTGAGTTGGTTCTAAAAGATGTAAGGTTTAAGAAGTGACCTTTATTCAGTTAATGTTCATTGCTTCTTCCATCTTTTTCAAACTAGTATACTAGTATACTGTGTACGTATTTGGTTGAGTCATTTAATTGGTGTCAAGACACTGACATTTCATCTGGTTCAATATAATAGTATATTTTGAGAAAACAAATAATAAATAACATTAAAATTGGAGTTGGATCTGTTTTACTTCAGAGTATGTCCATATGACTGCCGGCTAGTTATATGGAGTGTGGATGAACTTTTAACTTCTCTGCCTTGGCCCTTGGCCTTGAACCACTGTCTCCAGATCTCAGCCTCACCATTACCCAGCAAAAGCTATAGATTTGAGGCTCTTTGAGAATTTGGTAGTTCTCTTTCCTATTAAAAACTTGTAGTTTTTGAGATTTTATTAGGATTTGAGCAAAGAAGACTCCTTGTTTGACCCTAAACTCATTATATAAAAGACAGTGATAAAGGTTTTTTTAAGCAAAGTTTATTTCTAAGGAAAGATAACATTAAACATTAAAACATTTTCCATACTGGCTTCTCTGTAGAAAGGTTCTTGTTCAGCTATTTCAAAGATCCAAATACAGATTAACTCCTTGTCCTTTCTTTCTTGGAAGGGTTCTACAAAAGACCTCTGTTTTAAGCTGTGCCGTATCCTGGACACTGTTTTTTCTTTCAGCTCTATCTGCTTCCTCTGTCTTTATACCAGGTACAACTTTTCATTTCTTATTTAGGGTACGAAACAGCCTCCCCCTTTTCCCCCCTTCTCTCTCTGTGTTTGTGTCTCTCTCCCTCCTTCCCTCCCTCCCTTCTTCCTTCTCTCTACCCTCTCCCCTTTTCCTTCTCCCCCTCTCCTTTTCCCTTCTCTCCTCCTCCCTGGCCTCCTCCTCTTTCCCTTTTCTTCCTCTCTACCTATCCCCCCTTCCTCTCCCTCTCTCTCTAATGAGGCTTGAACTCATGGCCTCCCATTTTCTAGACAGGTACTTTTACCATTCATCCTTGCCTCCAGCATACCCAACAGAATTAGTACAAAATAGTGGGTTTTAGAAAATAGTAAGCTTTTAGATACCCTATACTATGCAGAGAGCAGTTGTAATAAGGGGAAAAGCTAAGAAACTTCTACTTTGTCCAAGATTAGCCACAGTTCTTTGCCCAGATGTGAAGAAAATGATTTTTAACATTGTTTAATATAACTACTTTGGCCTACTGTTGTTAAGCATAATTTTGTATTATCAACTTTCATCCACACAGTGGTGCTAGAAGACCAAGAGTTGATCATTATTTCCTCCTAATCAGAATAATATGTATTTCTAACCATTCCTTATAAACACTTTTTCAAGTTAGACAGCAAGTTTCCTTAATCTCTATCAACTGTCATTAAATTATGATTTTATACTTCTCGAATATTTCTGGTTTTGTTCCAGTTTTTTTATCCACATTGTAATGGTAAACACTTTTTTGGGAGTTTAAATCTGAACATTATTCTCCTGCTTAAAAATAATGAATTCTTATTACAATAAATTTATCAATAAGGAACAAAGACAAGGCATTTCATGATTAAACTCCTGTCCATATCTGGGCTTCATTCATCTCTATCTGTTCTTTTTCTGTACATAGCCAGTATGGCTTTCTTTTTGCATTTTGAATATGTTTCCCTTAATTTTGCGTAATTTTCCTTTTGCCTAGAATAAGTAGAGGAATGTATGTGGAAATGTAGATAATCCTTATTTTTCCATCCCTCTTAAGTCTTTGCTCAATTCTTAGAAAAAAGCTTTCATTAATCTCTCCAAGTAGATTAACTCACTATTTTATGTGATCTTATGTTACTAATTTTTCTTCATTGCATCACTATAATTATATTAAACTTAGATAAATTATGTAACATTTATATAATTAGTTATTCTCCATTTTCTTACTGGAAAAATGCTAAGACTGTGTATACTTATTGCTCATCACTGTGTTATTGGTGCGTAAGGAAATATTTGCTAAGGAAATGAGTGACTAAATCAAGTTATCTGGAACTTAAGTATTAGAAGTAGGAAAGATGAATATCCTGAAGAAAGAAGAAAATAGTTGCAATTAGAGTACCCCAAAGTAAGCATTATTTTAAGGTAATGTATTGGCTCAGTGTATAGACATGCCTGTCTGTCTGTCCATCTGTCTATCAGTCCGTCCACACATCCATCCATCTTACTGAGACTGTAGTTAATTCTAGATCATAGGCCTTAAGCTATAAGATTTCTTTACAACGTGGGGGAGGGAAGGGGGAGTTGGGGAGGAAAGGGATGGTAGGGGAAAAACAAGGGAAGAGGTAACAATGTTCAATAGGAAATGTACTCATTACTTTACTTATGTAACTGTAACCCCTCTGTACACTATTTTTACAATAAAAAAACATTTAAAAAAAAGACTTCTTACCTTCATGAGAGGACAAGATTATTTCAGAGATTTGGAAGTAGTGGAGAATACTGTTTTGTAAGTTATTGAAGGAATCAGTTTATATTTACTTTTATTTACATAATGGTATATAAAGACATTCTCTTTATTCTTTAATGTGTGATAAAGATCAATAATAGAAGTAAAAACATTAAAAAATTTATGAAAGTAGGTTTATTATTTGTCCACTGGAAAGTCTTTTTTTCTGTAATTTCTCTTATTCATAATTATGAGAGATGACTTAAAGAAAAGAGAGCTAGGGCATAAAATGCCCTCTATGTTCTAAATTCTATAAAGGCTTGACTGTACTGTTTTATTTACTATCCTCTATACACATTGCCTGACAGGTACCCAGAAATTATCTTTGAGTGAATCATATAGTGAATTCTCTGACAGCTAATGTGATTGGTATTGGTTAGTTTCTTTGCCTTGTAGTCATTCTGCAGAAAAGAATGATCTGAGGTAAAATACTTGATGATTGATTGTGTTTATTTCTTTGCTTTTTTGTATTTCAGCTGTGGCAGAAGTAAAACTTCGAGATGATCAATATACCTTGGACCACATGCATGCTTTTGGAATGTATAATTACCTACACCATGATTCATGGTACCAAGATAGTGTCTACTACATTGATAACCTTGGAAGAATCATGAATTTAACAGTGATGCTGGTAAAAAAAATATATGTGATATAGTAACTTACCAATTAATTGATCCTTTAAACTTATCTTTGGATCTAATATCCAGGGAATTGAGGTACACATGCTTTTACTGAATGGAATCCTTTCATTAGTGTATGTGAGATTCTGTATGTTTAATTCACTTTTCTTTTGCTGTTATTTATAGTTATTTCTACCTTTTTACTCCTACCACTAGGCAACTGGAAATTATATATTAGTATTAATGTACTTGTTCAGGCTGTTTTTCTTATGTGACATATTATCCTCAACTATAATAATGAATTTGTCTATTTTTACTTTTAGTTAATTTTTGCATTATGTACTTTTAACTATGTTAATTGACCACAAACATTCAGATTTGCTTGGTCCACTATGAATTGACCTTTAACATGAAATATTTATCTGTAGATAGGTTATTGTGAAATTTTTTTTTTTGGGTGGGGGGGGGGTCCGGTCATGGGGCTTAAACTCTGGGCCTGAGTGCTGTCCCTCAGCTCTTCAGCTCAAGGCTAGCGCTCTACCACTTGAGCCAGAGCACCACTTCCGGCTTTTTTCTTTTTGCTTATGTGGTGCTGAGGAATCGAACCCAGGGCCTCCATGCAAGGCAAGAGCTCTACCACTGAGCCACCTTCCCAGCCCTAGTTATTTTTGTTTTTAAAATTAGTGTGAATTATTTTATTTCCTTTTTCTTTTAGCTTATCAGTATTGTTATTTTTATTTATTTTATTTTATTTTATTTTATTGTTCGTCCAGCTTAACTCCAGGCCTGGGCACTGTCCCATGAGTTCTTTTGCTCAAGGTTAGTGCTCTATCACTTTGAACCACTGTGCCACTTCTGGTTTTCTGGTGGTTAATTAGAGATAAAAGTCTCTTGGACTTTCTTGCCTGGGCTGGCTTTGAACTACACACTCCAAATCTCAGCTTCCTGAGTAGTTAGGCTTACAGGCATGAGCCACCAACACTTGGCAGTATTCCTATTTTTAAAGTATTTTGGCTCGATAGTGGCAATGTTTGTCTTTTAATTGGAAGGGCTTAGTATAGTTATATTTACCTTAATTACTGATATTCATGTTACAGTCTTGGTATTTCTATTTTAGTTTATCATGTCAGTTCTTTGTGACTTCGTTTGCTTCAGTTTCTTTGTTACAACCTTTTGTGGAGTTGCTTAACTGATTTTTTATTTTTGCCAGTCCTGGGGCTTGAACTCAGGGTCTGGGCACTGTCCCTGAGCTTCCTTTGCTCAAGGCTAGCACTCTACCACCTGAGCTACACCACTACTTCTGTCTTTTTCTGTTTATGTAGTACTGAGGAATTGAACCTAGAGCTTCAAGCATGCTAGGCAAGCACTCTACCACTAAGCCACACTCCCAGCCCCTTAAGTGATCTTTTAGAAAAAGTTTTAGAAAAATTTTATTTGACTTTTTTTTTTCTTTTGGCTTTGTGTCTGTCTGTTAGTATTGCTAATTCAAATGGTCAGTGTACAGATTATAGTGTTAATTCTTATTGCATTCTCAGTCTAAAAAATGTGGTCTATTTATTGTATAAAATTCTTATAATAATGTAGTTCCTTTTACTTTACCTCTAATATATTGAGTTATTTTTGAACTTTTTCACATATTGTAAACTCCACATTAAATCATTAATGCATTTTCTTTAAACAACCATTCATTGATAGCTTCCTAACTGCTTTCTGTTTCTGCCAGCCCTTTTGTTCATTGCAACTTTAAAATATCTTATTTGCTTGTCTCACTACTTTTTGCTTAAATTAATATTTTTCATGACAAATGCACACTTTGTGTGTGTGTGTGCACGAGCGTGCGTGCACATGTGTGCCAATCCTGGAACTTGAATTCAAGGCCTGTGTGCTGTTCCTGAAGGTTTTTGCTCATGGCTAATAGTCTACCATTTGAACCACAATTCCACTTCTGGCCTTTTTGGTGCTTAATTGGCAATAAGAGCCTCATGGACTTTCCTGCCCAGGTTGGCTTTGAGCCACAATCCTTAGATCTCAGCCTCCTAAGAAGCTAGGATTACAGGCATGAGCTGCTAGTACCTGGCTAATATCCACACCGTTTAATATATAATTTTAGCAGAGGCAAGGCATCCATGTGACTTTGAAAAATATAGTTATAAAAATAGTAAAGTCTCCCTGAGCTTATCTTTCATCTCTCTTGTCACATTTTCCCTGCAACTTCCTTATTAGTTTCTTGTTTATCCTTCCTGAGGTGCTGAGGGTTTTTCTTTATTTGCTTTTGTAAGTATGATGATCAACCCATTGTCAACTTGATTTGACTAAGAAAAATCTAAGTAAACTCACATACTTTGGCTACATCTGCAAAGATGTTTCCAAAGAGGCTTAGAATATGAGGGCTCTGAGCAATTCATAGTAGCTAAACATAAGTATAAACATTCTTTGCTTTGCTTTCTTTTAGGTCTGAAATTGGGTCTTGAACTAGACACCTGTTGCTTCCACTCATTGGCTGTCGCACTACTAACTGAGCCACACCTCCAACCTCTAAACAAGTATTCTTGTATAATAAGCTTTTTATCTTGCCATATATAGTTGACATGCTTTCTTTCCAACCTTGTCTTGTCTTCCACCTCTTATATACTACACTTTAGCAATTCTAAACTCTTCTAGTTCTTTAAACATCTCTATGTCCTATTATTACTAGGCTTTTTTTTTTCCTCCACAGATCATATTCTCAATTCTGTGGCAGGCAGCTTTACTTAAAGAGCCAATTAATCATCATTAAGGAAGCATGTCTTGAACTCCTCCCTCTGTTGCCTCTGGAATATTCATGCCATTTACTATTGTAATTACATGTGCTATGAACTTCCTGTATGCCAAAGGTTGGTAAATTTTTTCTGTACAGGGGCAGATATTTTAGGCTTTGTGGGGCCAGTTAGTCTCTTGCCATGGCAATTTACTTTTGCTGTTTTAGTGGAAAAACAGCAATAGATGATTGTAAATGAAAGAGTGATGTGTTCCAATAAAACATTGATTGCAAAATCATGCTGTAAAGCCAGCTTTATGTGGACAGCACCAAAGTCTGCTGCCAGCTCTAGCAATAACCAAAACAATTTGGGGGTTGGCTGCAGTGGCCTGCAAGTACGTGTTGTTATTGAGCAGGATAAATTGAATCCTGAGAAACAAATTTTGGGGTGGCTGTGTGCAAGATTCTTGCCTCTGCTGAACTCTGTCCCAAAATGATTTTAAATGATTTCAGATCTTTGGAATTTTTACTCTGCATTAGGTAATTCCTAAGATGCCCTAAAAGTTATTTTGTCAATTTATATTGAAATCAGTTTATAACTATAGTTCATCTTCCAGCATTTTCACATCTATCCCAACCTCTCTCACTCTCTATATCTTTCTGATTCTATATTCACATATATGCATTGAATAATATGACTGCATTCATTTCTTTTTAGTGATATTAAAACCATGCCTTCCTTAGCTCCACCCTTACACAGGTTTTTCTGACCATATGTAAGTTTTTCATGTTATTTTGCTCTGATTTTTGTTTCTAGTTCTCATTGTAAACTAGACTAGAAGCAGCTAGCAATGCTAAGCAGCTAGCAATGCTAAGCTGCCTTGAAATTTTCTTCATTATAATTCCATCACTTTGAAGCTTGGTGTCAGTCAGTCTTAGGGCATGAACAAAATGTAGACGTGTTATCCCACAATGTAACATGAATGTCCCAGAATCTTTTTTCCTAATGAAACCTCAACATTCCTATCTGTCTTTGTTTTACTGAGCTCACACCAGAATCATCTATGCTCTGGGCATTCTCTAGCTCATGTTTCCAAATGTTTTCCCAAAACTTCTCAACCATATTGTCAGGTGAAATCAACAACCACTTCCTTAGTTCACAATACCTTTAGAAAACTCTAAAGGAACAGAACTAATAGAACATATACACATATTATAAATTATAATTTTAAAATTATTAGATGGGCTTACTTGATTGGAGGCTAGTTAATCTAGCCATGGTTATCTGTATGTTGGAGAAGCCATTTGCTGCTCAGTTCAAGAGTTAGGAGCCTCAGAGAAAGGACTAAAGATGTCCTAGTCAAGCTGAAGGCTTCAAAACTGCTTAGAGTGTTACTGGTGTGAGTGAGAAGTGAAAGGTTGAATCTGTCTAATGTGTATTGAAAGTGGCAGCAGCAATAGATATACTTGTTCAGGAAGATTGAATGGTGCTGCCCACATTCAGGGTATCTTTCCCTTTTGTTGATGTTCGGTAACTAATTGCTTCTGGAAACACCTCATGATCATTCTTATTTTATATAAAGAAATCCAAATCAAGGACATGTGGAAAATTCATCACATTGTTTCTGGTATCTTATGCAATAGTCAGTCTTGATTGTTGATTAGATTGAGAGATACCTATGTGTGCAGACCAAGTAAAAGACATGAGGGGACACAGCAAGGAGGTAGCATCTGCAAGCCAAGAAAAGACCCTTCCCAAGCAACTGACTGACTAGACCTGTGTGGTACTTTTAGCTTCATTACTATGACAAACTTACTTTATGCTGGCCAATCAATGGTATTTCATGATAGTAGTCCTAGCAGACTCTTGTCCTAGCAGTAAATATTGTTTTAGACCTACACTTAGCATGGACATTACTAGTTCTATAACATCAGGCAAGTCACTGCTTGTTTGGAGACCTTTGTGTCTTCATGTGAAAATAAAAGACAACCTGATCAGTGTTGTCTACAGAATTCTGTACTATGGAAGATTCCATGGAGCTGCCCTGGCAGGGAGGGCCTACCTCCTACTCCTCCCATCTATGAAGCTCTATATATTTGTCTTTTCCACATGAAATTTTTTAATGGAAGAAGTTCACTGGCACATATTTGACAGTTGGAGATTACTTCTGAGAAGCCAGGTGCTGGTGGCTCATCCCTGTAATCCTAGCTACTCAGGAGGCTGAGATCTGAGGGTGATGTTTTTTAATGGCATAGCAGAAAACAGACTGTTGT